CGGGATCTTGGGCACGCACGCACACACGCCCGGCGTGAGTTTTAAGCCACCGGGTCTGGGACACGAACCGCGGTCGACTACGTGGGAGTCCAGCGACATAGCCATTACGCTAACTGCTGGTTCCCTGTATCCTGTTTTTTAAAGTAGCAGTCAGACACTTTAACGGGTGAAATAATTTATAAAGTTTTTTTGTTTTATCTGATATATTTTTGTGTTTAAAAGAAGTATATTAACTAATCAGAAACATAAAACAATATATATATATAATATATATATATAACTTTTCACCTAGCAGTTCTACTTCTAACACATTTATTTAAAGTCAACATTATGGACGTGTGCAAATATTTAGTCACATGACTTCCTTTCACGGTGTAGTTTAAATATCGAAAAATTAGGAACAACAAACACACGTAACAGTAGTGGATCAGCTTGGCAAGTTATGGCCTATAATCCTATTTGTCATTTAAAATAATATGGATAAATATTTGGTCATCAAGAAAGTCATGACATATTTTTCCATGCAAAAATGAATTACAACTTTCCTGATGACCCAATATTTACTGAAAGAAAAGGTCAAGGTATTAAGTAACTTCAAGAATGTCATGGAAAATAGAATAAAAGTATGAGTTTATTTTGGTCCCCCCAAAAAGAAACCCATACATAGTTGTTGTTTTTAATAATATGCATTTTCCAGCGCCCTTAACCACCATGCCACCTGCTGGCCCCAATAATATACATTTTCCATGAATATTCTGAAAACCCTTTCTATACAGTTAAGCAAGAAATAAGAACAAATTACAAAACATTGTATGCGTGTTATTATAAACTGAACATATACCTGGAGGAGAGCCCATGAGTCTTCCAGACACATCTGATCCGGGTAATTTCCTCTTTAGAATTGGAACAATCTTTTCATCAAAGTATTCCATTGCCATGGAGGAAATATCTCGTAACTCTTGAAGAACTTCATGAGCTCGCTGAGGGGCTCTGGTAGAATTGACGTACCTCAGTACACGATAAATCTCATCAATCACCTAAAATGACAAATTCTCATTAGTACTTTGGACTTTTCTCAAGAAGAGTTAAATAGGCAGTGAAGTAACTGCTTGTTCTGTAACTCCTGTACAGACCTACAGGGTGATTTAGCTGATGTATGGTCACCGATAACATTAGCATTTATCATACCTGGCTGCTGGGCTTGTTATACTACCTTATACAGACATACATACATACATCTTTACTTCAGATTTTTGCCATGGGGCAAATATGCATACACTTTCCCTCTCTGTCTCTTTTTGGTGAGCACACACATCCTATGGCAACAACAAAAAACACCAACAGATCAAATCTTTCAAAAGTATTTATTTATATGTAATTAAGAAGTAGTTAATACAATTTAAAATGTAAGTTAGAGTAGTTACACAGTATTCAGAATACACATATTTTTTTGAGGGGGGAAGAGGTTTTTGCTATGGGGCGCATGCGCTCGCCAGAAAGCGAGAAATCACCCCCCAGGGGGGATGGCCATGCCGTAATCCTTTTTCCTCCATTCTCCTCTCGGGATCTTGGACACACACGACACGCACCTGCGTGAGTTTAAGCCACCAGGTCCAGGACTCGAACCGCGGTCAACTATATGGGAATCCAGTGACATAGCCATTATGCCAAATGCGGGTCCCCAAAATATATATTACATTTAATTAGTTAGTTTTCAGTTTTGATGTAAAGCACGTGTGCTCACTGGAGAGAGAGAGAGAAAGTGAGAAAGCACTCCTTTATGGGAGATGGCCATACTGTAATCCCTTCTCCATTCTCTTGGAATTTTGGGCATGCAAACACATGTGTCTGGTATGTTCCATAAGCTGTCAGGTATGGGACTTGAACTATGCAGCTGTCTATGTGGGATCCAGTCACCTTAACCACCACATTACCTAGCAGGCCATAAATACAGAGAATAGGCACCAACAGGCTCTTCACACCATGATCTATCCCCAGACTCAGCCTAGATCATGTAGGCATGCATGTGCAACCAGTATATACAGGCCCCAGGACACAACCCTAGGACCTTCCCATGTGGGTCCAATTGTATTCCCACTGCGCCGCCATCTGGCTCACAGGAATATAGTACTGCTTAAATGGTCCTTCCTATTTTTTTTTAAAGAAGCAATTTTTTTTGGAGGTTTTTGCTATAGGGCGCATGCGCTCACCAGAGAGAGAGAGAGAGAGAGAGAGAGA